CAAAGCATTGCTTAGACATAATCTAGTCGCCATAGACTTCTTCAATTACCTCGGTATCGTTGGGGAACCGCATTACTTGGTGGTAGGATGACGCCACCGATCGCATGGCATGCAGCCATGTTCTACCCAAGATGATGTTGTAAGTGGAGGGGACCTTCAATACCCAGAACTCCATTTGTTTCGTCACGCTTCCTGCTTTGACTGGAAGAATTATTTTGCCGATCAATCAAAATTCGCTTGACGTCATAATCCTTGATGCGGAGAGTGACGACCAGTGCATCGTTGTGAGGGCAATATATCCTTGCCAAGTCTCTGTCTGAAAAAGACATGGCGTTCATGGCCTCTGTTCTCCCATTTTTAATGGTAGGCTGCGCACTTAATACCTCCTTTAAGTGTTCAGCCTTCTTGATTATTCCCTTGAGCTCACATACTCGCTCAGGTTGGAATACCCCATGTATTAGGTTTATCATGCCTTGAGGTGGGGCGTCGATCGGCATTTCGTTTGGGTGATCGTGGTTTTGAGGGGCTGGCTGTGTCCCTCCTTCTATGTACTGGTCAAGGTGCCCAGCTGCCACCAACTCCTCCAGGTGCTGTCTCAATGGCGTGCAATTCTCAGTTCGGTGCCCCTTTTCTTTGTGGAAGGTGCACCGTGATCTTTCGTCATAGTCCTTCTGTGCTTCCCCTAGCTTAGCTGGCCACTTGACGAAAGGCTCATCTCTGATTTCACTTAGAATTCGATAGATCGGTTTCTTGAATATTGTGGTTATGGCCGTGTGGATCCTCAACCATCTTTTATCCGGGTCCTCTCTATTGTCACGCCTGCCACGTCCGCTTCTGTTCTGACGATCTACCGCATTGACCTTTGCTGAGGTTTTCTTTTCTGGTACTGTGGTCGCTCCAGATTTTGCTTTGGCACGTGCGCCATCCTCTTCTACTCTGATGTGCTGATGCACTCTTTCTATCAAGGTTTCCATAGTGAGGGGTGGTGTCATAGTGATTGAGTCCCTTAGTCTGTTCTCGACCGGGAGGCCTCTTTTGTATTGTGCAATGGCGAGATTGGTGGGACAGTCCCCAATCTGGTTGAATGTCTCCCAGTAGCGACTATTGTAGGACCTTGTCTCTTTATCGCCCATGTCGATGGAGAGTAGCTGGTCGATCTCCACCGGGGTTTTAGTGTTTGTTCGGAACCTTGTTACGAACGCCTCTGCCAATTGCACCCAAGAGGCTATGCTGCCTTTTGGAAGTTTCTCGAACCAAGTCAAGCCTAGGTCGCCAAGGCTAGATGGGAAGAGTATGCACATTAAGGCCTCGTTTCGCCTGTATACAGCCATGACCTGGCGAAAGTGGCTCAAGTGTGAGTAGGGGTCTGTTTTCTCTTCATATGTAGTGAATTTGGGCTGAAGGAAGCCTGATGGAAGGGGCGCGTTTTCAATCGCCGGAACAAACGGCGAAGTATGCAGCCTTGCTAATGCTTTGTTCGTTGGTTCGTAGGCAAGGCGCGGTATTGGCATTCCAACCTCGACGTTTCCATGCGTCCGAGGAGCCAACCGCTGTAAGGCAGAAACTCTGTGTGGATTCCGTGCCCTGGCATCCTCCTTGCATCGTGCCTTTTCTTCGAGCACGGTTCGTAAGTCGGATGATCTGGGTAACTCCGTCTGTCTAGATTTGGTTTGGTGCATATGTGAGGGCCAATACGTGCTTCTTTCAGTGTATGATCTTTCAGATCTCATCCTCTCAGACTTGGAGTGACGAGTTCTGGAAGACCTGGATTGAGTATCGCCTGTTCTGAGACTTATGCTCTCTTCTTGCGAGGGTGTGGTATTCCTACTACGATTTTCTGAGTAGCGAGGGGGCGTCTTGTTTTTGCGCCCCTCTCCTGTCGCCACTTCTTTTCCCTTCATCTGGCGCTTCAAGGCTTCTATGTCGGTCGCCATCTTCCTTATTAATTCGTCTTGCTCCTTCACGCGGTCCTCCAGAACTTGAGGATCAATCCTCCTCTTTTGTCTGTCAGGACTTCGTGAACGAGAGTGACGGGGGCTGTTAGTCCGCCTCCTCTCCCTTGTATCCCTCATGGGATTTTGCCGTTGGGACTCCAAGTCCGCCATGGGAGGGATAGAAGGTAATCCCTCACGCCTTGCACCCCCATCTGGAGTTTGCCCGTCGATGGCAGACTGTGGCAATTCTTCAATGTGTGCCATTGTTTCTAAAGAGGTAAAGCTTGATCAAGAGGTTTTGTCCTGTCTGTTACTTCCCACAGACGGCGCCAATTGTACGGGAAAGAAATAAACCTTCTCGTATAATCCTGTTGATCAAGTCTGCGCTCCTCTGTATGTCGTCGCTTTATCACCTGAAAACACAAACGTGAGCTAGCCGGCGGGTGTGCCGGAAACCTCTCCGATGCCTAAGTCAGTAAGCTTGACAAATAAACAAAAGCTCTGTGTATTCAGAAAGCAAAGTTGTGTGTTACCTCTTTGCAGGTGATATTTGTGAGTTTTATAGGTTTCGTGTGGCACAATCCTAGTAGGACTTTTACTTCTCCATGCAGAGTCCTCCTAGGATTTAACTTCCTGAAGGATAATCCTTATCCTCCAACACCCCCCTCACTGCTTAAACCAAGTGAGATGGTTCTTCTATGGCCGGGCTACCACGACCGAAGTAAAATGACCATGTTATGCTAGCAACCACATGGCCGAGACTCAACTAGCCTGGTCTTTTACTCCGCAGTTTGTACCTCGGTTTCCCTGCGGAGACCGAGCTAATTTAAGAGTGAGGCTTGCTATGTCTTCATCATGCCTTGGTTCCAAATAGTGCGGCCGAGCTAACCACGCCTATGATAACCGAGATACCTACGCAAGATTATGACCGAGTTAACTTAGTGTGACGACCGAGCTTACCTCGGGACCGGCGTAACTTCAAGATTCTCCTAGACCGGTCTAACTCTGGCCTTTTTACTCAGCCCTTCGTATTGCGGTCCAAAACAGTCCATTTACCCAGCTCGGCCCAATTTTCCATACAAATTACCCTCACATATACATATGAAAAATGCTTGGGAGCACTAATTAGTGCTCCCACTAATTAGGTGGCAGTGGGTCCCGCCATGAATGATGTGATGTTTTGGTCTTGGAGTTGTAATTTTTTTTTATTTTTTTTATTTTTTTAATGCATTAGTGCTATTAGTGGTGATGTTTTTAGTGGGATGAATCATTGTTGTATACATATATATGATTGATTGATATCATTTTAAGAATCATAAAATCTCCAATATTAGGAGTCTAAAGTCTCGTTTGGCAAGTTAACATTTTAGTCAAAAAATTACTAAAAAAAATCAAAAAACTTATAACCTATACTAAAATGTCAAATATTTTATTTTCTCTCCATTTTTTGCATGTCTTTTCGTAAAAAGTCAAAAAATTATTCCTGAACATACTAGTTTTTTTAGCTCAAATTTTAATAAAAAAGTCAAAGAATTATTAAAACAACCTATTCTCAAATGAGACCTAAGTATTTTTAAAATTTTAAGGGTGTGTTTGGTTTGTGTTTGTAGAGTAGTTTTTGAGATAAAAAATATGAAAACTTGTTTGGTTTGCCTTTTTTCAAAAATAGTTTTGGAAAATTATTTTTGGGAGAAAGTTTTAAAAAAAGTGATTGATTTGATGCGTATGAGAAAGAGAATAATTTTAGAAAGTAGATAACCAAACAAAATTTTGAAATTTTTTAAAAAAAATTTATTTGATTTGATTACTCTTAAAAATTTATTTGTAAATAATCTTCTCGATTTTTTTTATTTTTTTTTTAAAAACAAACCAAACAATGCGTAAATTTATAACACATCCAAAGAAAAATTCTTACAGGAAATTGTCACGTGTCAAGAAACTGTTACTTGTCATTTTCCTTCCACGCCTTTCCTGGGAAAGGTCTGATAATCTTGCCAAAGAAGAAACCGCCACAGAGATAGAGAGAGAACGATCAATCGCTTAGGTCCCTGTTTGGGAAGTTGCTAGGCCTCGAGCTACATATTTTAATTAAAAAATTATTATAAGGAGTTGTTTGGTATAAACTAAATAAATGTAATTTTTGTTTTTTTATTAAAAGATATGCAAAAAAGTAGAGACGTGATATAATAGAAAAAAGATAAAAAGATAAAAAAATAGATTATTTGAAATATGCTAACCTTGACCTAAATTACCCTATTATTTTTATATATATTTATATAAAAAATTTAAAAATTATGAAATCAACAAATTACTATAGGACTTTGCTACAGACCCTATTGGGGTCGATCCCCAGTGAGTGCAGCTGCCATTCGTTCAAATTACAAAAAAAAAAAAAAAAATTTTTTAATCAATGGAAACCTCCGTACATGACCCTTGACCCTCACTGGGGTCATAGGCATTTTTGAATTACTATATTAGTTTTATATATATTTACATAAAAAATTAAAAATTATTAAAACAATATATTTCTCCAATTAATTAAAAAGTCAAAAAAAAAAAAAAAAAAATATCAAAGTTAAAAACGTTCATCCGAAGCCACCGCTCGAGCACTTCGTGTTCTTGTGTGTGAGGTGATACATACATACATATATTCTTCATCCATCACAAACAAAGCTAGAGAGGGAGAGGGAGAGGGAGAGGGAGAGATTGATTGATCTGATAAAGGGTATGAGTGATAGTATCGGTTTCACACATCACAGGCGAATTAAACGCAGATTACACGATTACAAGAGAAATTCAGAGTAGAAAGTGGATAGATTGAACTTTTTTTTTTTTTTTAAATCAAAATTTTCGCTGGAATTTTCTTGATAGTGTGCATATAGGCAGAGAAAATTGATTCATATATCAGAGTTTTTCAGGTATTGATTCAGATTCTCGGGTAAACAGAGAGAGAGAGAGAGAGAGAGAGAGAGAGAGATCGTGTATAGTTGATTCAGATTATTGGAAATTTTGTTTGAAATGTCTCCTCCGTGTTCTTCATCATTTTCGAGTGAAGAAACACAAACTCAAACTCAAACCCTAAACCTAACCCTAATTCCAGGCCTCCCGAACGATCTTTCTGGTCTAATCCTCTCATTCGTTCCTTACTCTCACCATGTCCGTCTCAAATCCATATGCAAATCTTGGAAAATATTCTTCTCCTCCAAAACCCTAATCCATTTCCGTCTCAAACACCTCCCAATCTCTCGCCTCTCTCACCTTCTCTGTATCTTCCCTCAGGACCCTTCAATCGCTTCCCCTTACCTCTTCGACCCTCGAAACCTCGCTTGGTGTCCTCTCCCTCCCATGCCCTGCAACCCCCATGTCTATGGCCTCTGCAATTTCACTTCTATTTCAATTGGTCCCCATCTCTATGTCATTGGTGGCTCTCTCTTCGACACCCGGTCGTTTCCCATCGATCGCCCATCTTCTTCCTCCTCCACATTTCGCTTCAATTTCCTCACTTCATCGTGGGATCGTCTCTCCCCCATGCTTTCGCCTCGCGGGAGCTTTGCCTGTGCGGCAGTGCCGGATTCCGATCAAATTCTTGTTGCCGGTGGTGGGTCCCGACACACCATGTTTGGGGCTGCTGGGAGTAGGATGAGTTCAGTGGAGATGTATGATATTGGTAAAGATGAGTGGGTTGCCTTGGATGGGTTGCCGCGGTTTCGAGCTGGGTGCATTGGATTTTTCGTTGGGAATGAGGTGGAGAGAGAATTCTGGGTGATGGGTGGGTACGGTGAATCAAGGACGGTTTCGGGGGTGTTTCCAGTGGATGAGTATTACAAGGATGCTGTAGTGATGAACTTGAAGAATGGTGGGAAGTGGCGGGAGCTTGGGGATATGTGGGGGGAAGGGGAGAGGAGGCGGCTTGGGAAAATTGTTGTTGTCGAGAATGAGGATTGGGATGTTCCTGACATTTTCATGCTTGATGGGAGTGATATCTTCAGGTAAGTTTTAAGAATTTTATTGGGCTCTTCATGTTCTGTTGTCTGTTTGTGTTTTGTAAGAACATTTGGCAGTGATGTCTTCTTCTGAATTTTGGATAATGTGATTCTCCAATTTAAAGATATCATTTTATTGGGGGGGCTATTTGAGTCTTCTAGTTTAAATGAGGAATCAGACTAGAGGATAGATATAAATGTATGAAGTGCTTTTGTGATGTTATATTACTACAGGTCTTGTTGTTAAAGGGTTTGGGTAGAGTTAGATCAGGTTATTGTTTGATGTGTGCTTCGTTATACTGTTGATTTGTAAAAAATTGTAACCATATGTTTGATTTATTAAGCAAATGCCTTGATTTTTGGTTTGCGTTGTAAGTAGCATGGTACAGGACATGACGCGGACATGGTGATATTTAAAAAATATGCCTAGAATACGTTAAAGTTTTATATTTTTATAAATTAATGTCAAATGTATGAAGAAGTTATTTAAAGGGATCGGGAAAAGTAACATGCCACTAATTTTTTTTAAAAAAATAAAATTCATATATAGTCTATAATTATAGCATTATTCATGTAACAATTGCATTCTAATGTGAAGAATGTAAAATAATTGTAAACATTGAAATAAAATGATGTATCCATTTTATAAATGTTCAAAACATATATTTAGAGGGCACAAGTTGGATTCTGAATAATGCAAAACATTATTACTACAAAGAGATTCATCACAAGCCATGTTAGGAGGGTTCAGTAGTATCGTTGAAGTGTACATAAAGGGGTTGTTTGAGATGACCTAAATAAGTGTACTTTTTGTCTTTTTATGAAAAGATATGCAGAAAAGTAGAGAGGTGATGTGATGAAAAAAAGATAAAAAGATAAAAAGTTGGATTATTTTTGGGTTGCCAAACTTGGCCAAAGTATATGATATTATGAATTTAAAATTTTAATTAAGACATGTTGAAGAAATGTTGGACACTCATTCCAGAATATCCATAGAGTGTCATGTCCGACACAACACATCTCTTAGTTAGAGTCTTTAAAATCAATATGGATATGGTATTTGGAAACCTTGATTACATTGAAGGGAGCAAGCTGGAGTAGTGGGTCATTTGATTTATTAAGCATATTTAGTCACTTTTTTGGACCAATTTGATAAGATAGGTCAGATCGTGCAATACTTTGCATTTTCATTTAACTTCAGCTATTACTCTGCAATATTATCATATATTCGATGTTTAATAATTGCTTTCTTCTTTTTGTTTATTTATGTCATATAGATACTGGTTCAGTTAAAAATTATGAATTAAGTAGTTCAACATGCCTGCCACTGTGGTTGCTCTGCACAATTGAAAAACCAAAACATGCCTGGCAACCTAATGTCAATATTTCAACAATTTTGTAACCAGTATTATTGTTTCAGAGTTATTTATCCTTCAAAAAGTAGTAATTTTTTTGGACCTGTTTTGAGTTTTTTGACGACCATTTTATAAATTATTGTTGTTGAACTTGTTTCATGAAAAAGTTTGTAATACACACACTAATATACATGGACTTTTATGCATATGTATATTGGGTAATGCCCATGCAGGAAGACTAGGTAGACAATACTGAGGGTTATATATTGTTATCTACCTTCTGTTTCATGTATGGGAATTTGGTTTGCCAATTGTTTTGGTAATTATGAGCCCATGGTATGTTGGTGTTCATGTTCATGATTTGTATCATTTTTCTAATAAACTTGCTAGACCAAAGTTGCAATGGCAATTACTCCTGGCAAGTTCATGTTCATGATTTTTATTGTTTTGTTAATATGCCTCACGCTAAACATGTGTTTTATTTTCTTTCATGCAAGAAAAACACAACAAACCCCCCCCCCCCTTTGCTGGTGCCATTGAACAACCATACCTCAAATATGTACATGAAAGTCTTGTCTGACTAGGGATTCTAATTTCCATGATCCCTTTTCCTTTCAGTGTGCACATCTGTACATAAAAGTCTTGTCTGATTAGGGATTCTAATTTCCATGATCTTTCCACAATATGACAGGTATGACATGGCTTCTAACTGTTGGTGGAAGGAGACAAGCCTACCAAGAAAAGCCCCTGATGAATCATCGGTTGGTTTTGTTGCATTGGATAGGGAATTGCATGTTATGACACTTGTGAATGCAGTTGATTTAACAGAGACCAGAAGATCACGGCAGCATAAGAAGGCGACATCACTGTTAATGCAGATATATCATCCCAGGAAGAAGACATGGAGATCCTTGATCACAAAGCCACCTCTTCATCATCATTTGGATTTCAAAACTGCAGTTATGTGCACCATCCAGTTGTAGACTTAAATACTTCCTCTGGTGTGTGTACTGCTGCCATTCTTACCTAAATAAGTTCGTTGTTCATCTGTAATTTTGTTTCTGCTGTTATTCTATTTGTATATGTATGTATAGCTTGATGACGATGATTGTTTCGAGTATTGTAATTGTTTTGATGACAATTTATGTAAATTACTAGAAATAAGTCTAAATTGTAAGTTCATACTTCTTTCTGTTCATCTCTTTTGTTGGGATCTGTAGTCCATAGTATTACAAGGAACTAGAAGTCTAGACTAAAAGTTACTTGATTCATGTGACGTACTCCTATGCGCGCACAAGTAGTAGTAAACAATAGCCCAAGTTAATGTTCTTGTACTGGTAAATAAAAAATAAAAATCGCTCCAAGCAGCAAAATTAAGAGTCTTAAACATTCTTTCAACTTACCTACAGATTTACAAGATGCTATAGGGCATGGTTCATGCTATTGGCTAGAAATGCTTTTGCCATCATTATCAGGCAAAAATAGCATTAGTTGACAAGATCGTTCTATCTCCATTAAAAACACTGAAATCAACAACCTGTGGCAATGTTGCTTCTCAGTTCCCTACTTGAGAATTTTTATGGAGCCTCACCTTCATTCGCACCTTGCCGTTTGAAGTTACTGCCTCGAGTGTTTCATGGAACTTGAACTCCCAACACCTTGATTGCTTGCACCATCTGCTACCCTGCTTGCAGAGCTACCTTTCCCATTAGTCTCACTCAGCTGTGTGGGTATGCCGGTAGTCACAGCAAAGTTGAAGCCAAACTGGTTGTGCAAGGCTTGCTGTTGCTGCAATGCCAGATGTGGCTGCTGCTGAGCATACAACGTGGGTGATTGGGCTGCCGATACTGATTGAGTTGTCATCTGTTGAGGTCGTTGATGTTGCATGATGTTTGCTCCTGGCTGCATGATTGTATCGAGTGAGCATTGTAGAATACAGAAAATAAAATATAGGGCTTGCTTGGTTGTGTTTTCGTTTTTCGCCAATTTATCATATGCACATGATGGTCTTTTAGATTTCTTCTCATACTGAAATTGGAAGTTGGCCATTCAGCCATTGGTCTTGAAAAGAACACAAGGAAGTGCAGCACCTCCTTGAACTAGAGCACCAGCTAGATGTTGAGCTCAGATATGTTCCTGAAATAAGATCTTAAGAAACCTCGCTGTGATTACCAAGTAAAGGAAAAAGGGAACCCACTACTACCTTTGCTAGTCCTCAAGTGAAGAAGAGCATGAGGTTGAAAGTTAGATTAGAGGCCAAGCGATACGGACACAAGCTTGGAATTGAACCACTTCAGAACTAGGGTAGATCTTTGCCATTGAAAAAAAGAAAAAAAAGAAAAAAAAACTTGGTTCATTGAATTATTTCTATTTTGTGTTAGTTTGGCCAACATTCTATGGGATAGAATACTACTGGGTTATCCATTCAATCAAACAATGGAGTAGACGTCTTTGTAGTTCAAGAGGGAATAATATCAATATGAAGGCCAGAGCTGGGTAAACAATACCGGCTGGATTTGTAAAGAACAAAGGAGAAGAACATAGACTGGATAAAAGATAAATTGCAGAATTTACAGAACCTTAAATAGATAGTGAAGTTGTGACCTTCAAATTAAGCATGCAAAACTGTACAACTTTTTACCCAGAAAACAGAAAGTAGTGTCTGCAGAAAAAATATAGTAAAATTATGCAGACATAATTAAGGTTGGAAACCTACCTGCCCAAACCTATCGAGACCTGATATCTTTATGAAAGATCAAAAACTGTGTAACAGCCTCAGATGGAATCACACTCACCTCAAACCCAACACTAATGCTGTGTTTGGTTGGGGGATTTAGGGAGGGATTTGGAAAGGGAAAGAACAAAGGTCACGGATCCATGTCGATCGACTCAGATTTACGCCGAAACATGGCTGAAACCGCGGTGCTACGGCGAGAGAGAAGAGAGAGAGGAGGTGCTACGGCCTATGGCGGTGCTGCGAATCTGCGATGGAGGATGGTAGAGGAAGTGTTGCGACGGAGAACGGCTGTTCTTGAGACTGGATCTGGTCTGGATCGATATGGCTTTGAGAGTTGACAGAGAGAGAAGAACCAGAGAGTGAGAGAGTGAGAGACAGATGAGAGTCAGTTGAGAGAGTGAGTTGAGAGATGAGAGTATGAGAGAGAGAGAGAAAGAGTTATATAAATATAATAATACAACAATAATATAACTAAACATATAAATAGAATATGCGGGGATCTTTCGGGGAAATGTCGGGCCGGGGCCGGGGCGGGGCCGGGGCCGAGAAATTTATCCCCGTCCCCGGCCCGAAAATCATCGGGGATGCATTTTTTAATACCAGCCCCGGCCCTACGGGGAATAATTTTCGGGGAAAAACCTATTTATCAGGACGGGGTGGTCCGGGTCCCCGTCGGGCCGGGTTCATATTGCCATCCCTAAATCCAGTTACAACCCAGCCCGTTTAAGTCGTTCACACCAGCCAAACGGCCTCACAAAACTGGCCAAATTACCTTCGACGACGTTGATCTTGAAAGGGTAACGCTCTCCCACGATGATGCCCTTGTAATTGAGTTGTGCGTAGGCAGATTCGTCGTTGAGCGCATTCTGATTAATCAGGGGAGCACCTCGGAGATCATGTACTACAAGACATTTCTCAAACTCAGCTTCATCGATTCAGACTTGCTATCGGCCGAGTATCCTCTGTTCGGATTCAATGCCAACCCCAAGTACCCTTTAAGCAAGATCACACTGCCAGTACGGGCAGGAGCCAAATCAGTCGACGTGGAGTTTCTGGTCGTCAAACTTCCGTCACCATACAATCTCATCATGGGCAGATCTTGGTTGCATGCAATGCAGGCCGTGCCAAGTACCTACCATCCCAGATAGCCCTCTTAGAAGCTCATTGACCAGACGGCCTCCCAAAACAGTTTGGGCGCTAATGAAGAAAATTGAGGAGTATTGCAAGGTGGAGGATGATGCCCTTCGCGTCAAGGCCGGATAGAAAGTTGTAAAATCAGCGCCACCTGGTTTGGTTCAGCCGATAAGCACCGTTCCACCAAGGAGCCCTGAACCGCGGGGCCGGGCAAAACGAGACAATCGGCAGGATTCACGACGATCAAGCGAACAATGTTCACGCCGTTCAAACAAGCAAATATCAAGTGTATAGCAGGTGCCCCAGACGTTCGAACAAAAAGTACACGGAGTTGGCAGAGTCGATTAGCAAGATCTTACCCAAAATCCAGTATTTACCGTTCTTTAAGTGGCCATCCAAAATGATTGGACCCTCTGACACTAGATGCAGGGATAGGCGGTGTGAATATCACAAGGACCATGGCCACGAGACTGACAGCTGTTATGCACTAAAAGACCGTCTGGAGGAGCTGGTGCAAGACGGCCGACTGGCACAGCACGTCCACGAGGGCAATCAACCAAACACGGTAGCTCTACGGTCGGATTCACCTCTGCTTGGCGTGATTCACATATATAGTCTGCTGCCGCCAAATCAGGTGCATACAATCCAATTACAACCCAGCCCGTTAAAGTCGTTCACACCAGCCAAACGGCCTCACAAAACTGGCCAAATTACCTTCGACGACGCCAATCTTGAAAGGGTAACGCTCTCCCACGATGATGCCCTTGTAATTGAGTTGTGCGTAGGCAGATTCGTCGTTGAGCGCATTCTGATTAATCAGGGGAGCACCTCGGAGATCATGTACTACAAGACATTTCTCAAACTCAGCTTCATCGATTCAGACTTGCTATCGGCCGAGTATCCTCTGTTCGGATTCAATGCCAACCCCAAGTACCCTTTAAGCAAGATCACACTGCCAGTACGGGCAGGAGCCAAATCAGTCGACGTGGAGTTTCTGGTCGTCAAACTTCCGTCACCATACAATCTCATCATGGGCAGATCTTGGTTGCATGCAATGCAGGCCGTGCCAAGTACCTACCATCAGTTACTCCGTTTTCCAATGCAGCATGGCATTGAGTAGATTCGAGGTTCTCAAAGATCGGCAAAGGCTTGCTATCTTACCGCTTTGACAAAAAAAACCGAAGGAAGTGGAAGTGAATTCAATTGAAGTTTCAGATCTAGAAAGCCTCAAATACTGCACATGCAAAAATGTAGAAGTTTGGTAGAGTTAATTACGTAAAAGTAATATCCTATTTATGAATTTGATAAACAAAAAGATTAATCCTGTAATGAAAACGTTTAGCTAAACAGCTGATGAGCTAAAACCATTAGATATGCTAAATATATGTTCCATATTCTGTCTTTGCCACATACTTCGATAAAATTAATAGCACACAAGGTAGCAAATTACATACAGTTTATAGTACTGTCAAAAGTTGTTGATCTTGTGCACAATCATCACAAAGAACAAAATTTTTTGATAGTAAAAGCATTAATGTGGGTCACGGGGAGAAATGTTAGTGATTAAATCACTGTTATAAAAGCAAATGTCCCAAAAATGGTTGAACTAGTCAATCTAGGATTTTGGAATTTAGGAGCATGTTGTAGCATAACATATCAAGTAGCGGCATCGTAATTTAAGAGAAAATGACCAATTAGAGGTTTGATATCTACTTTATCAGCAAGTCATGCCAGTGCCCCTAAAATTGGAGCTGCATTTCATGTGTTATGATACATGACAGATTGATACTTCATCAGCAACTCAGTATGTCTTTGGTGGTGTTTGGGAAGAATTGTAGTTGGGTTTTTTCTCATTTTTTTCACTAAAAGACAAAAATTTTGCAAAACCAAAAAAAACACATCCAAATAAAATATCACATCCAACCCCATAATCATTTCACTTTTTCTCTCACAAACATCACATCCAACCCCAAAAAAACTCAACTATCTTCTCAAACACAAATTTTTTTTTCTTCAATAATATCCTACATCTAAAAAAACCTACATAAAAATCCACTTCCCAAACACCATCTTTATAAGCTATGTGGTAGATCGACATTACAGCTAATTGCTAGTCCATTGCCAGGTAAGGATCAGTATATTCATGTTGACATATGGAATCAGTGTTCTGAAGCCACTAAGGAAATTTAAAAAATAGAAACAAAATTCAAATACTAACATAACTATTAGGTAAAAGTTATTGGACGCCAGATCCACATTGTTGTTCAGACAACATAGGTGCACAAGCACACTTGAGCCAAGCCAACATAAAAACAAACAGAAACAGAGGCATATATATTGAGTCTTGTGTCTTTTGCTTCTTCTGTTGATTTCTAGGAGACATGCTTTTTTTTTTGGGTACTTTTATATGCTTGTTGATTATGGATGCGTTCTGTTTGAGGCTCTTGTATACTACGTTCACGGGTTGGGGCTGGATGAGTTCCCTAGTGCAGACTCATGACCTTAAAAGGATACTTCTCTTCGAATGTCTTGAGATTCAGCGAGTTTAAGCTCCACGCAGGTTGTCTTGGAATTTGTAATGTGAGATGTTTAGCGGACAGGATTGCTACTAATCTTGCAAGCTGCACTAAATTTTGAAGCATTGGGCATCAAAACTATTCCGAAGGTACGGCTTTTTTTTTTTCCTTCCCCTTTTGAGTGTCCGTATTGAATTTTAGCACTTATCATAATCTCATTTCTGTTGACAAGACCAATCCATCACTTAAACTGTTTGTGGTTCAACTGACCTTGGTGTTGCCAAGCCTTAGAATCTAATCGATTTAACTCGTAAAATTAGGGTTACATATGCAATCTCATTAGGCTATTATGAGCAAAGGAAATAATTCAGACAAAAATAGTTGGATGGCCTTAAAGAAATGTTTGCTCTGTTTAGTTGCTTAGAATAAACTAGAAATAGCATCCAAATCTTAGATAAAAATTGGATCTTGAAAATTGTTTGATTGTGAGTTTAGAAAGCTAGATCAGTCACTGTCTAGAACCCAATCAAACAAGAATACTGTGCCTAGCTCGCCTATCGGCTCTACTAAGGTGAGGTTTTCATTTTTGGAAAATAAATTACCATGAAAATAAAATATGATCAGAAACGCTATGCCTAAACTATTTAATATGATTGATATATATATATATATATATATTCCCTCAATTTTTTTGGGCCAAATAACTAGCTCTAGGTTAGGACATCCAAAAGGTAAAATAGGATTAAAGAGTACATACAGAAGGCCCCATAAAACAACATTGGAAGAGACAATCAAATATGACAAAAGCCACACCTATCTACAAAGTAATGTAGAAAATAAGGGACGTACCACAAAAACTTGGTGGGGGAAGATAAAAATTATTAGAAGGTGACGAGGAGATGTATCAACCTCTTTCAACATTTAGGTTGTGTTCGGATTTCTGGATTTGAAATGAAAGTATTTTGACACTACATTTTTTATGAGTAGCTCTAAGTTAGATTTGATAGTTTAAATATGAATTTGAAGAACAAAAGTAAGAGCTTTGTCATTGTGGATTTGAAATGACAATGTAAAAGTAATTACTTGAAATTATTCATGCTCAAGAATTTTAGTTCCACAAGTATCCATCTAGAATATTTTGTCTTGCATCTCTAATTTATTCCTTTTTAGTTTTCTCAATTCACCTATTATAGCTTAATCTCCTTTTTTTTTAAAAAAAAAATTCTATATCAAATCCTTTCATTTGAAATCTATCTATCCAAACGGAGCCTTAGTGTCAAGTCCAGAGCGTTACACAGAAGATAGCCAAACACATCAACCCACCAATGAATAACAAGTAAGCATGGAGGACCTTTCCACATCAGAGACTAGTTATTAGTTGAACCAAAATCTCAATAAAATCACAACAAACTGTTAACCAAAAGAAGAAATACTCGAGCTATATAATAGCCCAGAGTTAAAGGGATATCAGGTACAAAATATAAATAAGCAAATTAAAGCAAGAAGAAATAAAAACAACAATACCCATTACTGGAACCACAGTAATAGCAAATAGAGAGAGAGAGAGACCTGCTGGATGTGGTCAGTAGTCATGACCATGGGTTGCTGCTGCTGCTGCTGCTGCATCTGCATGAGTTGATGCTGCATTCTTCTTCTTGATCAGTTGATCTTATTGTTCTCTGATGTTTTCTGCTCCCCAAATGCTTTTGTTTTTGTTTTTGGTTTTGTTTTTGGTTTTAGTTTTGCTGTACTTCTCTGTCTGTGTTCCTATTTTGGAACAGAAAAAATCAACTAATTTTATGTATGTGAGGGTGAGACAGAGATGTAACTTGGAGGCTCCAGGTGATACCTTTCTTGGGATTCTACTCACACTTTTTTCGAGGTCCCAGCTGTCACTCTGTCAGAGTAGTAAGTGATGAGTTGGGACCATTGTTTGTCATTAGTATTCCAAATCCGATTTTGTTTACACACCGATAAGGTTTATAAGCAAAATGTATTCTGATTGTAGAAATGTGACAATGTGAACTTAAAAAAAAAAAAAAAAAAAAAAAAAAATGCATAAAAAAAGTTATGAATTTCGTGGTGAAAGTTGTGTTTGTGGTAAAAGTTGTGAACGACGAAGTTTTGGTATGCACACTCTAAAAGTTTTAAATAACAAAGTTATGTTTTTTTAAACAAAATTATATTTTTTGTGATGAATAATTTTTTTTTTACTTTTTTTGTATAAAGTGCATGTCATATGCCCTATTTTTTGGTGCACATGATAGCCTTTCCTTTTGATTAATCCAAAATTGTTAAGTTCACAAGTTTAGTTGGGATAAAAATACTTTTTGAGTATGAAGTTTAGAGTTTTGAACCAATCAAATAGTATGTATAGAGAGAGAAAAAATTCACAAAAAATCTAATGCTAATGTTAAAATTTAAAACCTTTTAACTGCATAAGAGAAAAATAAAGGGGATTTTAAAAAAAATCCGATTTCTAATACTTTGTACCAATTAATTCAAGTTAATTTCTTATAACTCATTTAGTCTTGCAACTATCCAAAAGATCAATAACTCCAATTTTAAATTTAACATAAAAAATGAAAACTAAATCTATATTTTTCAAGAAAAGTACACTAATTTAAATATGGGTGATTATCCTTACCAAATCAAAACACAAAATATAAATCGCAAAATCATGTTTTCATTCTCACACTTCATCCCGCCATTTCTTACCATCGCAGATTTCAATCTCACCTTCAGCAATTTTGTCTCACATTTCGTCTTCATTCATCAATCTCGTCTCAGATTTCCCAAAAACAAACTAGGTCATCAAACATTCTAAGATTCAAACAACCAAAAATGGTGAAGATAAGTAAGATTCAAGTATCTTAAACCCTAGTTTTTACAGAATCTTTCATTTTTGAAGCTTTTGTTTTTTATTTCCATTTCAGCTTGAATATTGAGTTCGAAACTTTTCTTTTCGAAACTTTTACTTTTGTTTTTGTTTTTGTTTGTGAATTTGAGAACATTCATTGTAATGGCACCAAAATCAAGTTCTCTTACTTTTATTTCAGGTTTCAATGTAGATTTTGGTTTGATTGTTGTTAATATTCTCAGATTCTTACTAAATTTGAGTAAAAATCCTAGTTAATCATATTCTCTTGCTTTCCATTTAGGTTTCAATATTGAGTATCGGGCAATTGCTATGAATGTTTTCATATTTTGAGTCAATTTGAGTGAAAAATCCTAATTAATCATATTCTCTTGCTTTCAATTTAAGTTTCAATGTTGATTTTGGTGTGATTACTGTGAATGTTCTCATATTTTGAATCAATTTGAGTGAAAAACCCTAATTAATCATCTTCTCTTGCTTTCAATTTAAGTTTTAATGTAGATTTTGGTACAATTACTGTCAATGTTCTCATATTCTAAATCAATTTGGGTGAAAAATCCTAGTTAATCATGTTCTCATACTTTCAATCTAAGTGTCAATATAGATTTTGGTACCATTGCTGTTAATGTTTTCATATTCATATTGAACTTGAGTGAAAAACCCTAGTTAATTATATTCTCTTGCTTTCAATTTAGGTTTCAATGTTGATTTGGGTTCGATTGCTGTGAATGTTCCCAGATTCTTAATGAATTTGAGTAAAAAACCCTAGTTAATCATATTCTCTTACTTTTCATTTAGGTTTCAATGTTGAGTATCATGTGATTGCTGTGAATGTTCTCATATTTTGAGTCAATTTGAGTGAAAAACTCTAGTTAATCATATTCTCTTACTTTCAATTTAGGTTTCAATGTTGAGTATCGTGCGATTGTTGTGAATGTTCTCATATTCTGAGTCAATTTGAGTGAAAAACCCTAGTTAATCATCTTCTCTTGCTTTCAATTTAACTTTCAATGTTGATTTTGTTTTTATAGCCATGAATGTCATCAAACTTAGACTTCATGAGAATGACATTGGATTGATTCTTTTAGGGCACATTCCCAGTATTTATATCTTGTCTATGTTGATTTTCCGTACAGGAAAGCAACTCATGAAAACCCCAAGACTAAAAAGTAATGCAAAGAAAATGATAAGAAAGCATAAAAAATCAACGGATAAAAAGCAAAAGGGAAAGCGTAGATAATGGAGATTAACTTTCAGATCAAACATAGGGACAATAGTGAAGCTATTACAACACATTAAACTCAGGAATGAGCATATTAATGGCTTGAAGAAAATCCCATTTTGGGCATTGTTTGATGCAATATTGCAAAACAAGCTGAATTATAAACAATGCAGAAAATATGATGACATTACATTGAAAATAATTCAAACATACCAACCAGAC